GCATGTACTCTCATAAAATTAAACAACAATCAATTTTTGATAAAAAATCTGTAATATACTTAAAGTATTTATTTGCTTGAACGTGCACACTCTTACTGCGCATATATTGAGTGTAAATAACGTGTAAAATTAGTGGAAAGTGCATTATATATTGTGAAATAGTCCCATACAAGTTGGAGAAAATTACAAACTTTAATAACAAATTTCTTAAAAACTATAAGGTTCCGCGCTTTAAAACTTTACATAGAACTCCCTCTTCCCCCCTCCTTAATTCCGTACTCGGGGGGTTACCATTCTAAAATTTTCCCGGCTGACCCGATCCAAAAAAAAATTGCAAACACTTGTAGCCAAGGGTCACTAATTTATTTACAAATTGGGTTAGAAATATGCCCTTTTTTGTAAAATTCGGAAATTAGAGTAAATTTATCACTCCTATTCTCCTTAAAGCAGCCACTTCACCAATTAATTCTCTAGTGTAGGGTAAACCCCTAAAAAAAGGTCCGGAAAAGTCGGGAGGGGTACCAAACGACGCGTTTCGGCCCCCCTATTAATAATCTGGAGGGGGAAGGCTAATATTATTAACCATTTAAAAGTTATAAACAAAAAACTTTTGTTAAATTTCGTTGTTTTCTATGAGCAATTACCACGTCAAAAATGCACTAAATCACCAGTTTCCACGGGTACTGTTTAGTAAGTGGCCCACCTGTTTCGGGGTATTGCGTCCAAAGGGGTGACCCGATCCAAAAAAAAATTGCAAACACTTGTAGCCAAGGGTCACTAATTTATTTACAAATTGGGTTTGAAATATGCCCTTTTTTGTAAAATTTGGAAATTAGGGTACATTTATCACTCCTATTCTCCTTAAAGCAGCCACTTCACCAATTCATTTTTGTATTCCCCTTCACTTTACACTTTACTCGATTAGTTATAACTTGATTAATATTAACCAATTAATCAAAATTCTTTAAATAAAAACACCTTCAAAATCACGCGTCTGACTTTGGTTGCACATGCAAATTAAATGGCAGAGTTCAGCTGTCAAACTCCGAAATATGCAAAAGAATGAGAGACAAAAGAAGATATACAAAAGAGGATATAACCCAGTCAGCATTAAAAATATACAAAGGTGTTCTCTGCAAAAGGTGTTCAGCTCCTTTTCTTCGCAAAACAGAAAGGAGAATTCTACTGCCTGAGGGTTATAATCCCTAAGTTCGGCCGAAGACCGCCTACGCAGAAAGGTGTTCAGCCCCCTTTCTTTGGCAACACAGAAGAGAATTCTACGTAGTGCGGGTTATAATCCCTAAGTGCGGCCGAAGGCCGCCTACGCAGAAATGTGTTCTCTGCAAAAGGTGTTCAGTCCCCTTTCTTTGGCAACACAGAAGAGAATTCTACGTAGTGAGGGTTATAATCCCTAAGTGCGGCCGAAGGCTGCCTACGCAAAAAGAAGTTCTGCGCTAAAATACTATCATATTACACGGTGCAGCGAACAAAGGTGGCGCCGTCAGTGGTACCGCTACTTTGGTTGTGCCGATTTTGAGAGTTGTGGTAACTTGTAAATAAACCTTTGTTTACAAATCAGCGAAAAAGAAATTTGAATTAGAAGTGAAAAATCAGTTTAAATTATGTTAATTTGCAATTTGTGAGTGATTTTTGAGTTGAAGACTGCGTAAAATCTAATAAAAAGAAGTGCTGTGTTAAATTGCGACAGGCATCAAGATGCAAGATGCGTAGATGCAAGTGTAGTTCTTGGACGAATCGCTGCATTTTGTGTACATAGGGCACGGCAAAGCCGTTCCGGAAATGGTTCTTTATCATTACAATAACAGCATTTCCTCGCAATGATTTTGCTTCCGCTCCAAGCAGCCTCCATTAGCAAGTTAACTAATCAATCCCGCTGAGATGCTGCCGCAGTTTTCTGCAGCAACCTTAATTGCAAAGCAATAGAGTGCACTAAAACGTTTGCGGGTACTGTTTAGTAAGTGGCCCACCTATTTCGGGGTATTGCGTCCAAAGGGGTGACCCGATCCAAAAAAAAATTGCACACACTTGTAGCCAAGGGTCTACCCATTATTTTAACATCGACTATTGTAATTTTGGGTCACTAATTTATTTACAAATTGGGTTTGAAATATGCCCTTTTTTGTAAAATTCGGAAATTAGCGTAAATTTATCACTCCTATTCTCCTTAAAGCAGCTACATCAGCAATATATTTTTATATTCTCCTTCACTTTACACTTTACTCGATGAGCTATAACTTTCTTTATAACTTTAATATTAACCAATTAATCACAATTTATTAAATAAAAACACCTTCTAAATCATGCGTCTGACTTTTGTTGCATATGCAAATTAAATGGCGTAGTTCAGCTGTCAAACTCCAAAATATGCAAAAGAATGAGAGACAAAAGAAAATAGGATATAACCCTGTAAGCATTAAAAATATACAAAGATGTTCTCTGTAAAAGGTATTCAGCTCCTTTTCTTCGCAAAACAGAAAGGAGAATTCTACTGCCTGAGGGTTATAATCCCTAAGTGCGGCCGAAGGCCGCCTACGTAGAAAGGTGTTCTCTGCAAAAGGTGTTCAGCCCCCCTTCTTTGGCAACACAGAAAGGAGAATTCTACTGCCTGAGGGTTATAATCCCTAAGTGCGGCCGAAGGCCGCCTACGCAGAAAGGTGTTCTCTGCAAAAAGGTGTTCAGCCCCCCTTCTTTGGCTACACAGAAAGGAGAATTCTACTGCCTGAGGGTTATAATCCCTAAGTGCGGCCGAAGGCCGCCTACGCATAAAGGTGTTCTCTGCGAAAGGTGTTTATCCCTCCTTTATTCGCCTGATAACCACCTTGGGATAACTTTTTTTATTTAAAAACCCCACACATTCTGTTAGTTGGGTTATATTCCACTTCAAACTGCTCAGTTTGCCTCGGAAAATGCCGTTTTTACCCCATTTTCAAATGGTTCCCTAGGGGTCTGTGGGAGGTCCCCAAGGAGGGGGTGGGGCTTTTCGTAAAGTGGCGACTGGCCCCTTTCGAATGAGGGGGGTTTGGGGGGCCACGCCCCCTCCCCCTCCGCCCCCCACCCCAAAAACGATGGGCCAATAACTAAACATTTCCCACGTTTGCTGAAGCAGCCTCAATTGCAAGGCAATGGAGTGCACTAAAATGTTACCTATTCTCTAATAGATTAGGTAAAAATGCAATATTTTCGCATTTAGCAAAATTAAAACACGTTTTTCGCTGTAAGGTGAACTGTTTTGGCAGTTTCAACTCGTTCTTCTTTTCGCTCTATTCTTTGTTTACTTGTGGTACACAAATGTCAACGCGCAGGACGGCGCAATCTTGTATTCTATCATTCTTGATCATATTACTATAACTACAACATTTCTATCTGTCGCTTTTTTCTTAATTTCACAATATTTTTAGTTAATTTTTTTCCCTAAATTTTTTTTTAGTTAACTTTTTTTTAGTTAATTTTTTTTTCAAATCGCCTGATAACCAACTTGGGATAATTTCTTTTATTTAAAAATCCCACGGTTTTCGTTAGTTGGGTTATATTCCACTTCAAACTGCTCAGTTTGCCTCGGAAAATGCCGTTTTTACCCCATTTTCAAACGGTTCCCTAGGGGTCTGTGGGAGGTCCCCAAGGGGGGTGGGGCTTTTCGTAAAGTGGCGACTGTCCCCTTTCGGATGAGGGGGATTTGGGGGGCCACGCACCCTCCCCCCGCCCACCATCCCAAAAACGATGGGCCAATAACTAAACATTTCCCGTTTCCACTTTTAAAACACTATCAAAACGTCTTTGGTTATTATTTTATGCAAACCGAATCATTTATTCACTTTTATTTTATATATTTCGTTAATAAAACAGAGTAAAAAAACTTTGCGCCTGCCAAAATTATAACCTCAAATCGCTGGTATTGCCACTTTATTTCACATTTCAGTTGCGTTATTATACTCAGTTTACACTAC